TAAAGTCGGTTAGAAAGCTGCCAAATGGATCCACCCTGGTACATGCTGGATTCTTTACCATTCGAAATGTTCCAGTCCACTCCGATTACCTTTTACAAAGTTCTCCTCAGACTTGAGAGGGCACGTGCTTGACACCGGCATTATTTAGCAGATTCTAGTGATAGACACGAGTTTATAAACTCTGATAAATTCTTTTTGAGTCTGACATGTATGCACCTGCAATCCCTGAGAATCTGAAAGATATACCAGTGACATTTCAGCAACCTCCTGTGTGCAAAGTGTAGCAGTAAAATTTCATTCTGACCCTCAGGGGCACACCTTGCTTGTGCACGCTCCCTCTGCAAACGAGTCTCACCCTCTGACGGCTTCTGTCCACACACCAACCACCACCAGGCTGGGTTGAAGGGTAGGTGCCCAGAGCCACCTTTTTTAAAGCAAAAGTCCTTCCTTCGTAAAGTCAAACTGCATGCATATGTTGTGCTCAAGAAAATACCTGGCTCCAGTTTCCTTAGAGATGAGCCGTGTTAACTACAAGCATACTACTGCCCTTCAAAATACTCCTCTGTTCTCAAGAAGATTGGATCTTACATCTACTCTTTTGAGATCCTTTCTTTTCTTCTGCTAAAAGCATGTAAAGAGACCCTACAGTGATAACAGCAGAGGAACAAAAGATGCAAGCCAGAAATAGCGGTTTCCAAACCAGAGGATACAGATCTTGTGAGCCAGTGCTCAGCTCTTCCTTCCTGCTGGCCAGGATATATTGGAAATGCATTTATTTGCACACAGAAAAATCACCTTGTTATTTCTGTAATCAATCTAGCTTTAGAAAATCAGGCACAAAAAACGCAAAAGAAAAATCTTCCCTGAAATACTTACCAAAATTCATATTTTAAAGTTCTAGAAGTAAAGCATGTTCAAAGATTGGATTTTGTTGTTGCAACAGTTTCCTTCCATTTTTTTCCCCCGCTGAACAAAATCAACACCTTGATGTGAAGATACAGTCAGAGAACCAACCTTCCACTGCCCCGCTCCCCCCACTGTACTACTCTAAATCTGAGCTGTTTCCATCTTATTATCTGAATCTTTCTTCACCTTTGAATGAAACAAAGGGAAACTCACTGAATGGCTGGTTTTCTCAATTATTCTGAATTATTGTACTGCATTTTAGAGTACGTCAATCGTTCTCCCAAATCATTACATCATAAAAATACCTTAGTATCAAAAACAAACCCCATGGGGAAATAAAGTATCTTTCACAGAAAAAAATAATGTTACTGACATACAGTTTTCTGAGAAACAATAAACTGCACTTGTCAATTTTGTGGAGATAAATACGTAATCTAGATGTTTTTATGATTAATGAAAAATATTGACTGTTTCTAAGTACACTTCTTTCTAACCTTCAATCCTCTGTCACACATTTGCCCTCCAAATGTTGCCTAATATTAAAGTCACTAGAGAAACTATGCTTTGAATTATGCTCTGATGCGTATTGCTACAATTTCCAGTTTCTGCAGGGGAGAAAGCTGCATACAAGATCACCTAACGCCGTCTTTGCTGCATAAGCACATCCATCTCTTTCAGAGCACTACCACCAGCACGCAGCAGTGCAGACCTGGGGGGCTGAAAGCCTCTTGCCTTGTTGACATATAGGATTCCAGTAAGTAAAGCAGACTGAAGAAATGACCAAGCAAAATCTGATTTTTTTCAAGAAAAAGCTGAGCGTGAACATCGCAGGGCTGACAGCACCTTTCTGCCAGCTGGCAGACAGTCTCTGCCAGAGCTGTGCAATATGTACATTCTGAAGATAGATTTTGAGCTCATGTTTTATGCATTTGTAAACTATCATTTTGTAGTTTATGTTTGTATTAATTACTGCAGCTGTTTTATCCCATTTATGGTTTTGAGATGGTCATAGATAATCCTGATAAAGAGCTACGTTCTGTCAGAGCCTATAGATGCTTGTTCGAAGATGGGTCAGG